CGTATATATATATATATATATATATATATATTGAGGTTCAAATGCCCTAGCCACCAATGTGAAATTTAGGAACCATGGCCCTATAATTCCAACCCTGAGCAGTGGAACCACAACAGTCTGGTTGGGGCCTGTTTTATAGTGATGATAGATCAGAACCAATCCAGTGTCCGATGTTGCTTCACAGCTAGATGTACTTAATTCCTTAAACCTGCATTGAGTTAGGGGTGATGGAAAGTGTTAAATCCTCTGCTCTTGTTCATAAAGTGCCTGTTGATGAAATGGTGTTTTATGAAACACAACTACAGTGATGTATTTGTATAGGGTGTTACACTCCATGGGCTTTTCTTTTCTGTCACCTTTGTCTCATCTAGGTTTTTGCAATTGCATTGGTCCCACTACTGTATCTGAGTGTAGAGTTCTAGCTACTGTGTGGAGAGATAAGTATATTGTTTCTGAAATTAACATTTTCCTTACCTGAAAATATATTTCTTATTAATATTAATCTCTTTGTATACTTTCACACATTTCCTTGCCAGTACCAGTGCACATTATTCTTGCCTCATGGAGTCAGCCAACCATACTCATCAGCCCCTTCAAATGGCTGCTTGGGTGGGCAGGTTAATCTAATTGGTTTGTCGCACTTTGATTTGCTTGTTTCCTCTCACCAGGCGGCACAGTGGTGTGTCTGCGGACTTACAGCACTAAAATCTGGGTTTCAATACTCATGGTGGGCAGAGCACAGATAGCCCATTGTGTTGCTTTGTGCTTAACTTCAAAAAAACATCTTCTCACCAGACATTGTGTGCTGATTGCAATCTGTGGGTGTTTTCCCCACATGAGTGCATTTGCCAATCACACATTAACCTCTTTTGGTTCCTGGTACTTCAGCCCTGGGCTGTGGCTGTCGATACCTTCAGCCAGGATTGGTCTCACAAATTCCTTTATGTCTATCCTCCTATCCGATTTCTTCATTGGGTGGACTCTCTTATCCATACCACTGTGTGGCGAGTCCTTCTGATTGCTCCTTATTGGCCAGCTCAACCGCAGTTTCCATGATTACACCAACTGAAACTTTTCCCTCCCTTACTCCTCACCTTGGCTCCCTCCCTTCTTCACCAACCTTGGTCACTAGTTCTACATACAGTCATTCATGTCCTGACTCTTTACACCAAGTTTTTATTCAGTTCTTGATGAGAAAATGAGGTTTCTCCCATAAAGTTGTTTTCCTGCTAGCTTATTCCATAAGTCCTTCTTCAATGGAAGTGTATCAGCACCAAGGGAAGATGTTCCACAGGGTCTGCAATTTGGGTATTACCCATGGACCGAAGTACTGTGACTTGTGTGGCTGAGTTCCTCACATGGCTTTTCGACTGGTGTGGTCTTCGGTCTCCTTACTCTTGGATTATTGGGCTGCCTTATCTCATACCTTTCATTTTTCCAGATACTGTTGAGTCTGTGCTTCCACTGTCCTTACCATTTTACAGTGTTTCTTCCAGACTGGGATATTAATGTAGTCCACCATTCACTCACTTTACTTCTGTTTGAACCTCTCTCCTCATGTCCTATGTTTCACTTTTCCTTTAAAACATATTTCCTTCTCCTCTTAGCCTATAGATGTCGAAGGTCTAATTTGTTTGCCATTGATGTTTCACATATGCTTTACCACCCTACCTATCTTCTCCTTTATCAAAATCATTCCTTCCTCCTTAAAACCAAGGCAGCTAGGGAGGATAACTCCTCCTTTTTGGTTGTTTCTCTTCATTCTATTTCTCATCTCCAGCCGCGTCCCAATCCACATAGACTTCTATGTCCGGTACATACCCTTTGTTGCTATATTGCCTTCTGTGGTATTTGTTCTTGACTTTATATCCCTTTGCAGTCTTCTTCTTTTACTCTCGCCAATTGGGTTTGACTTTTACTTCAGTCGGAATATTCCTCCTTGTTTTCTTCCTACCAGAATATGTTTAGGCTCTTCTCATCAGATTCAACACCTCACCTTTTCTCTCGCATCTTGTCTTCGTTGGCCTTTTGAGGATATCCTACAATCGAGCATGTGGACTACACCTTATATGTTCATCTCCTATTATTTACATCATATCACGGTTTCTTCTTCATCAGGTTTTTGTCTGCTGCCTGTGGCTGTTTTTCAAGATTCAGTGTGACTTTGACTGGGTAAATTTATATTCTTGCTTTCTTTTCCTTTCAGGGGCCCTTGCTTCATTTATTCATTATATGGATCATGACCTATGGCGAGCGGTGCCTGACCAGGTATTCTTAAATTTGAAATCTGCACTTTACAGCCATGTTGCCTTGCACTTTATATTCCATGGCTTTGCAATGCTCACTGTTGAGATAGGGTGTTCCATAAGATTGCTTGTAGGTGAATAATTTTGTGATGTAATTGCTTCATACACTTATCAATTCCGGACTGTACCACCAATGGACTTCAAATGTAAAGCAGAAAGGGATAGCTGCCCATCCCTGCCATGCCTTGTATTGAATGAATTAATATGGTCTGCTTTTCAAAATAGGGTTTTGTGGTCACCCATTGCATTGTCTCCAGTGATGACATTTATCTGGACTCTACAGTACATCCCCCCCCCTTTTTTTTAAGTGGATTATGGGAGTCCTTACTGCTTTCCAATTCCAAGCTGCTGGGGTGGTCAAATTGTGGAGCCACCCTCCTGAATGGGTTCCACACAAAGATGGCTATAACCATTCACTGTAGAGTAGGGCAGTGGTGTTTTGTCAGTGAAGATGACGTGATATCCTCCAATATGAATTATACTATCACAAAGGAGTGAGTAGTCATATTGCAGTTCTTCCCTCTGATTGGGAGCCGTCATTCTACCCCCACATGGATATCAGTACTCCATGGCTAGGTTTTGGATTTAGATTAGAACCAATCAACATAATCCTCACACATGTTTATGGTTGCCTACATTCCTCCCTTGATTATACTCCTTCTGTTTTGTGGGACACCGTGGAGGTAAGGGGGATTGTTCCTGTTCTGTCCATTTTTCTATCCCTGTGCAGAGGATGTTATTGCTCTTTGGATGGTTCCAGTCAGTTTTGCTGTTGGGAGAGTTGATTTATATTATATAGACATACTCCTTCTGTGTTGTGGGTCATAGTGGGGGTAAGGGAGATTGTTCCAGTTCTGTCATTTTGTTGTCCCTCGTGTATCTTATTCCAAGGACAGATGAAAGTATCTAAATTTATTTCTTTATTAACTTTTGATCCATAATAGTAAACTTCATTTTATATATTGATCTTTTTCAGTTATCCAAACATTTAATTGAAAATAGTACTGTAACCTGCTTCCACAAACTTTGAAATTGCAATCTACCAGTTCAATATATTCACTGGTTACCAAATTTCCTTGATGATAGATACAAGTTCTTATGTTACATGTTAGGTCTTTCACCTGGAAGTGGAAGTAGTATAAGGTTTAATTCTTTATGTATGCATATGACATGATGGAACCTGTTTCAAGTTATCTACTGTATAACTTTATTTGCCAATGTTGAAGCTACCTGGAAAAGCTTTGCTAACACAGTAACATTGCCACAAAATTGAAGTTATCCTAAACAACCTGATGAATGAACTAAATTTCTCCCTAAAAGAAACAACTAGCTTTAACAACTAACTCGTATACACAACAAGAGTCATTTGCTAATGTTATGGTGAAATAACTTAATTTCCAGTATAGTTTATGATTGAAAAATAAGCTTAGTAGTCAGGAAACAGCTAAAAAATTTGACAAATTATATTCCTATTATATCTAGAACTACAACTAATATTCAAAGTTTGTTACAGCCTTTTGCACCAAGTTTTATTAAGAAATGAAACTCCATTCTGTACAAAAACAGCAATGAAGACTGAATTACAATTATATTGTGTTGTGAACTTAACCCTGAAATAGTTTAATTCCTGTGAGTGGAATAAATATGTTTAATTTTTGTTACTGATGTGCCATTTCATTGTATGATCATTTGTTATGATAGTGTTGCATATAGTATATTCAATTACATTATATCTATCAACAGGAGAAGCTGTTTCCTTTGAAGAAAGATCTTCACATATAATTTATGGGTTTGGTGTTACAAAACAGGAGTTGGAAGAGAATTATAATGGAGTACCAGAGAAGACTGAGGTAATACTGTATTAAGAACTTTGTGGTTTTTTGTATTAGAATAAAATGATTAATTCTGTTGCTATGGGGTTGGCTGATTCAACCAAATTCGTGATCTCAATGTGGCTTTTGTGTGTCTTCACAAAATTTGACAAGCTTCAGTAATCATTACAAGTTTTTTACACAAAAAATCTGATTTTATGATTAAGTATTTTTTAAAAATATATGTCCATGAATATTATGATTCACAGTGTTGACTGTTCTGAGTGCAAAGTGATTTTGATGTTAAGATTAAATATATTTGGGGTTCTTATTCCTTTCTGTTTGTTATGCCTTTAAGCTAAGGGACTGGTGCTCTGTCATCATTTGGTTAGTTCTGTCCCATTTATTAGTCCTTCTACATATCTCCATGGGGTCATATTTAGCCCTTTGTTGGTTTTCTTTCCCGGTTTTTGGAGGATGAGGATGTTGTGACAGATGATTCCTCCTAATTAACTACTCCCCTGCCTTCTGGCTTTCTTCTTTGGGTTCATAAGGTTTGTGTATCTTCATTCCAGACTCCTCCATTGGACCACTCCTTGGCTCCTTACAATTAGGATGATCTGGGTTTTTACCCGACTTGTTCCTTTCCAGGAGCTATCATTTCCACCATGGCAAAGATGTCTGGCTTCTTCACAAACTGATCCTTTCTTCCTCTTTTCTTCTAGGAATAGAAGCTCATGTTGATTGGTTGGTTAAAGTGGAACCATTTTTTTTCACCCCCTTGCAATACCCTGTTCATATTTTTTTTCTCTTTTTTGGTTTAGGGCTAGGTCAATTCTGGTTTGCAGCCTCTCCTCCCCTACTTTTCCAATTTTGCATGAGGTTTTCTCTTATTTGGGTAAATGGGCTTCTCAGTAAGCCCTCATCCCTATTGGTCATGTCCTCTTGTGTTATCTTTCATGAGTTTGTTGGTTCAGTGGAGCCTCATTTGGGATCCCTTGGAGACTCCATTCATCCTTCCTTTGTGACTGACTTAGCCTGGTTGGCTCGATCAGATCAATACCTTTTTGAATGTTCCTCCTCCAAGTCCATAATGTCTCCTTTTCTTGGTGCTTCCCTTTATGGATTGGGAGATTTATTGAGTGCTTCAGTTGTTTTGGGTTGATGGTATCTCTTGAAGTCCTCTTGCATTTCCACCACTGTGGGCTCCCAGCAGTTAGTTGAGCTCTGGTTCATTTCCTTATGGCCTTACAGAGACAGTTGGTGGTAATGTTTACTGATTACTCATCTCTAGTCTTGTAAATCTTCAGGCAAGTGGGCACTTGGTTAAGTGACCTCTGGTGTAGGCCACTAGTCCTCTTGTGTTGGGCCTCAGCTTTCATTTTCTTGTTCTGGCTTGTCATATTCAGGGTGCCCTATATTACATTGGCAGATTATTTATCTCTGTTCGGTTGTTGTTTTTGCCTGTGATGGAGCATGCACTATTCCTTCCATGGTGACTCTCCTGTTGTTTATTATTTGAAACCCTTCCCAATCATGTGACCATTATCCAATTACCATTATGGTAGGGTTTATCAGTAGATACACCTGGCCTATTTTTTCATTTCTCTAGATGGATTTTTTCTCTTCTGAACATTCCTCTTTGACACCTCATCTTGTCCCTAGCTGCTCATTTCCTTCATCCATTGGAGAACTTCTCCCCAAACTTTTACTGTTTATTATCATCACTAACTGACTGTTTCTTGTTCTGAGGGATATTATCTTCCTTCAGTCAACATTTTGTGCTCCTCTGTTACAGTTTGAGTGGTAAATACTCCATTCTTTTTCTTTGCATGGGCCTTTCTTGCATGTTTGAATCCCACTCTGTGGCAAGTGGTGACTGACCAGGTATACTTAATCTTAAATCCACACTATAAGACCTGTGATTATTTACCACGCTAGATGACTTACTTTGAGTCTCTTTCTACTGTGGACCTCATTTATAATTCCAGGTGCTGTCAAGTGTTTATTGATCAACTCTTTCAGTGTATTCAAAATACAATATCATAACACATCGCCATGTCATGTTATGCCCACCGTTGAGATGGGGTGTTTTGCAAGACCACTCATAGGAATGCCCTGTGGTCTTTTCTTCATAAATATGTTTGTCCTGGACTTTACACTCATGGACTAACATGAATAAAGCAGACAGGGATTGCTGGCCATTTCTGATGATCCATGATATTTGACATTCATCCAACATTATTGCTTTGAAATAGGCTATTGTGGTCACCCATTGCACTGTCTCTGGTGCTGCAGTCATCCAGACTTTTCAGTACATTATATTCCTCCTTCTTCTATTGGAGTATGGGAGTCCTTTCCACTTAACCAGTTCCTAGCTGATTGAGTGGTGGACCATGGATGTCTGCCATCCTGAATGTGCATTCTGCAGGAGTAGATGGTGTGACTCTTTTCTTACCCCATACATGATGTTCAATTCCTGATGCCACCAGGTGTTTGATGTAGCACTCCACTACATATATATATATATACATATCACAGTTTGCTCCTTAGGCCGAGGCACCCTCCATACTACCATCTGCTGAATGTTAAATCCCAGTGGATCTGGTGTTTGTTGGAGCCAAACCAGCAACGTAAGTCTTCACATGTGTTTGGATAGTTACCCTCCTCTTACTGTGGACTGGACGATAAATTCCCAATGTCCCCAGGCTTTGGATTGGAGATGCACCTCATATTGCTGTCCTTCTCCCTACCATCCACTGAATGTCAGTTCCTAGTGGATTTGATATTGTAGCTAGATGATACACATGAATTCTTGCAGGTGTTACCTTATTGTCAATGTTTACAAATAAATTTGATATCTAAACATAGTTAATAAATCAAATTTGAATATTATACAAGTTTTAATTTCCTAATTTTATAAGGAAATATTTAAATAAATTTTTAAGCTTTGCTAGTATGAGAAATATGGCATTTATTCTCTAGGTTTTCCTCCTCCTCTGATTTATCATTCCTCTCTGAAGTATGGAATTTAATGTAAATTACTCATTATAATATTGATATTACTAAGCTTAATTTTTGTATCATTCAGTATTCTTTGTTTATGGAGTCACAAACTAGAAAATCAGACCCACATTCCTTACTCACCTATCATTCCTTCCCACCCTCCTTCTCAAATCACCAGTGACTTTCTCTGGTGTTTTATATCAATCATAATTGGTGTTTTATATCAAATGGTACATAATATTGTCAGTTTTGGCTTCAGATTGAAAGTTTATCTCACACTGTTCAGATCATGTATCTTAGAGAATTATTTTAAACCTGTTTTGTCTTAGTAAGAAACCCAGTTAACTTAAAATAGTTATAGGACATTGTTTGCTTTTTGCATATTATTATTTTGTGTTCTTATGTGCATTATTTAATTAAATAAAAATTTTTAATGTACAAGTATTGTCATTGTAAAAAAGTAGACTTAAATTTCATCAGTAATTCGCAACAAAAAACAAGAGGTCAAAGGTGAGTACTTTATATATCTTGTTTTTCATGTATATTTTTGATGTATTGTTATAAAAGTGACTGAAATGTAAAAATTAGAAACTTATTAAATCTGTTTAGGTAAGATAATTTAAAATAATAATATAAATTCTTATTGAGGTATGTTCGTGAACAGCTCATGCGTTACATCATTCATTACATTAATGTGAATTACATGTTTCCAAAGTGATTTCCAATTTGTATGGCAAGATTATATGGTCTAAATGGCAAATTAAGTAGAACCAGATATGATAGAAAAGATATGAGGTTCTTATTTTATATTCCAGCTCCTCTATATCTGTAATTTGAGTTCGTAATTCTTATGAAACTATAGACTTGGTATTTTGACATCACAAACATCTAATTTGTGACCAGTGCTGCATTACCACATGATACACAAACATTTATGTTTAACTGTGTTTTTAATATTTACTTTTAAATTAAGAAATTAGATAATGTATAATATTAACATTTGAATTATAATCTACAGTTTGATACCAAAATTATTTACATAAATTCATGAAATAGTAGTTCAATAAAATTTTGAATCCGAATCAACAAATGCAATGATGTGGCCTTTGACTCATGACTCTTCTGAAGAGGGTTAACTAACCTGAAGAGATATCTATTTTACATTTTAGTTTACTTCTATAATAATAATGAATAAATATGAAAAACAAGAACTGTCGACTGTCAATGACACTTAGCCCTAGTTTTTTTTGTACTAATGGTAGTAATGCAGTAATTTTTATTTAATTAAACAATGCATGAAGAACATAGAATAGTAACATGCAAAAAGCAGACAATTTTCCTCTAATTATCACAACGTTTCTGCCTTACTAACTATGAGACAAGAGCTGTTACAAATTCTCTTAAGCTAGTCATTACCTTTCCCGTGTGAACAAAGCTTGTAGTACCAGAGAAATTGACAATTCTGTTCAATGTAATAGATGAAAATCTTGGCTTTTTATTGGTTATAGATAGTATAGAATTAAACATAAGAGAGAACTATTAACAAATCCAGGAAGAGAGGATGTAACAGGTGTGTGTGATAATAGAGGTCTGATTTTCTATCTGATAGCTCTTTAACCAAACAAAATTGAAGGATATAAAAATTATGGTTTGTGTGAACAATTATAATTTTCTAGTGAGTAATTTATGTTAAATTTTATACTTATTGATGAGGTAGTGGATAAAATAGAAAAGAGGAGATATCTAGAAAAAATGTGTCACATTAGGGGAAATTCAGGATTTTCAAAAAATATTTACTTGTAAAATCATGAACTTAAAACTTGTATACTATTAAAATATGGATGTAAGTCACTAAAATGTTGTGACATACACAGTAAATGGTGCTCAGGCAGAGAGCGTTAAAATGAAAATCACTGCACTTGGAGCAGTCAATACTTACTCCATATTTTCACAGACAAATCTTTAGTAAAAATACTTATTTGAAAAATTAGATTTTTTTTGTGTACAAAAGACATGTTTGGTATACTGGGGCAG